TACGTATTTTATTTTTATCTACATATGTAGATAAATTACATATATTAAATAAAAAAAATAAATATTAAATAAAAAAGATATATATTAAATATTTGTACACTTAATCTAACATTATTTTCATAGTATACAATTCCTTATTTGAAATGCTCTTTGACATCTTTCTCACTTCATGTTTTATCGTGTTCGTATCTTCAAAATAAAGCACCCGGTTGAATTTACTTATTTTGAAGAATCGAATGAGAGAGAAGAAGTTAGGAAGTTAGAGTTACGAGTTCCGGAAGTGAGGACGGATAATCGAGTATTGTAATATATGTATTAAACTGTGTTGAAAACTCGCGAATCCAGTAATTTCGCTTATGACATCAGCTAATAACAAGAGCAATAATGCCGTTACTGCACATAAACACCATGAGTCGTACCGTCGTGAAACTTGACCTGACGATGGATAAGAGTATCGGTTACCCGTTTCAATCGCAGAGATAGCCGCAACGTTACTGATCTAAGAAAGATAAAATCATTTCGCGAACTTTTTATGCACATCTCGCGTTTTTCTGATCGAAAACTTCAACGTATAACTAAAATCATTCGAATCGAAATAATAACTGTTATGCAATGATTCTTTATAATATATTATAATATAATATATATTATTATTATTATATATTATTATTATTATATATTATTATATTATTATTATTATATTATTCTTTATAATATATTATATTATAATATAATATTCTTTCACGTTGTAATGTAATGTAATATAAAATATTCTTATTGTGTAAACAATAACACTATATGCACAGGAAGCACAAATTATTTTTCATAACATAAACGAGTAGGATTCTACGTATGCAGTGAATTCTCGCGAAATGTATATGTATTTGGATGTCAGTTTACGTTTCAGTTTTAATCGTACGATATCCTCACATGCCAGAAGTATGCGTCGAACGTTTTTAAATAGCTTCAATTTTGCGAGCAATATCACGCGATGTAAAGCATAGGTTCAATGATGCACGCAACTCTTCTTTGCACCGTAATCGTTCACATCTTTCCACAAGCTGAAATTGACAAATTTTGCGTGCGTGACTTCAAAATATTCTTTAGACTTTCCCTTCAAATCTCTAGAATTTTTTATGTTTCACTTTTGGCTGAAATGAATCGAACATCGATCTTTGTCTTTTAAATCTTCCGCATTGTTATACATTGTTATACATACCTTTCTTTCTTATAGATCTGTTCTGGCAGAAAGTCGGCACAAATATTTTCGAGAACGTTTGCATCTCGAACTTACTGTTTCCTGTTGAAACTTTAGTGTTTATTGAACAAGAAAATGCTGCACAGATTTTGCCATGTGGGTTGCAGCATTATCGCGTATCAAAATATAATTAGCCTCCGTCTGTAATACGAATGCCATTAATTTAATATACTTCTCGCTATTCATGAGCTTCGATAACGTTATCCGACGCTGACACATACCATAATGCGATCCAAGTCAAACGGAGTTCTCCTTTCTTTACATCGTAAAAATAATAGATCCGTTCATTAGGACCATTCAAATCGAATCTCTTCCGACGCTTAGAACGATGTCTCTCCGTTTCTTCTTTTTTATCCAGTAAACGTGACCGCGGATTAAACTTCAGTCATGCTTATTTATGGTTCTTAGTTAATACTCGAACATTATATTTTGCTTATGTTAGTCCTGAGAAAGCAGTCTTCCAGATTTTCAAGATACAGATTTTTGAGCTGTAGAAACAGTTCACAATAAATGTATCGAAACTGTTCTTTCTTAAGTTATATCTTCATTTCTGTGAATAAAAAACTATAAATACATGTTCTAATATATAACAAATATATGTATCATATATAATCAGAAAAATATAGAAAAAATGATCGAGAAAGTGGTTCAGTATATCAGGAACAAAAATCGCTGATGAACATGTCATGCTCTTTCTCGAGCAGCACTGGCGCAACTGGGCTAGTAATTTAAATTTATATTTATATACATGTATATATATATATATATATACACATATATGTATTACATTTAATCATGTAACTGAAACTATATCGTGTCTCGGTTACCCATGTAATTCGACTCGGATCTGTTCACAGTCATTTCTATATTCTACAATCTAAGATGTTACGTCACAAGAATATATGTATTTACATTTTTCTTAATACAGCAAATTAATAATCAACGGATAATTTTGTTTCGCAAACGACCGCTGACATATACGAACGATCATGCTATATATTCTCCGAAATCATATTTCTTGTAGAAAGATATTCAACGCACGAGCAGCAGTCCTTTTTGACAAAGATAATAGAGTACGCTTAGGGCAAGCTATATAATTATATATAATTATATAATTTGGACTCGGAATTAAAAGATTGTTATTCGAATATGTTTCTGACAATTAATTTAAATGTTCACATATTTCTCTAAGGTCTGTAGAGGAACTAATTGTTGGAAAATAGTTTCTCTACAGACCTTAGAGGAATGTGTGAACATTTCAATTAATTGCCAGAAACATATTCGAATAACAATCTTTCAATTCCGAGTCCAAGTTGGCCCGAGTCTCGCCGTTCGAGACTGACGATTAGTTAATGATTTTCGTTATTTCGCAACTTCTTTCAGTATTCGTTACGAGCACACGTTCACATATACATATTGCGTGGTCATTGCTCCATCGTCTGCTCTGTATTTGATGAGTAAGTCACGTGTGAATGTAACGCGACAATGAAGATGCGAAAAATGAACGAGGAAACGAGACGGATAAGGTCGCAGACGAGTGGCTATATAATCTGATACTTTCAGTTTAGCGGCCAACACCGTGCTCCAAAGTACAGTTAGAATTCATTACAATTATTTAACTGGGAGAGATTCTGGAGATCTAGGGACGATATCAAACTCGTTTACATTTAACGTTTGGACGCCACCCGAATTTAAGCAACATAAACAGGTGCTGCAATTCAAATGAGATTGGAGCTTACGATATCCCGATGTACGAGGTCATAGGGTACCATGACGAAATACTAGTTACGAAATTGATGTGAACGTAGTCATCGCCTACAAAAATTGATCAAACTATGCATCTGTTGCAGCCAAATCAAAAAGTTTATTTCTTCGCGCGATAACGCAGCTTTGCGTGAAATAAAATTATTAAAACTAATCTCGAGAACGCAGAGAAGTGCAGATATTTCCGAGCAGTTCGTGAGATCCGTCGATTTAAATGTTACTAAATTAATTGCAAATACTGCCTAGCAGTGTACGATATGCTCTGAACTCTAGAAGAATGAAATTCCAAGGCCGGAAAATGAAAAACGTGGCTCGAAGAAAAGTGAAAATGCTTGAAACAGATAACAATGAGAATACAGCATCAGCCTGCGTACGTTCACTGTACGGACATCTTTCTCCGTTGCTGTATGAATTGTACATGTGCATGCTTATATTGCAATAGTTAGACGGGTGTTCGATTAACTCGGTTACGAGACAAGTAGGGTCATAAATAAAACATTAAGAATCGGCATCGATTAATGTCGCGACATTTATTATCGGTGGTTACAGCTGTAAATAGCCTGGAGCCTAACAGCGTCAACGTTCGCATGAATTTCTCGACAATAAAACCGCGCACGTAATTTTTGTGGCTTACGATCGATATAACGATCGTATATAATATACTACATATAGTATATTATACTATATATATTATATATTATACTATATTATACTATATATTATCTGTCTCTTATACACATCTAGATGTGTATAAGAGACAGATAATATATAGTATAATATATAATATATATATAGTATAATATATAATATATATATAGTATAATATATAATATATATATAGTATAATATATAATATATATATAGTATAATATATAATATATATATAGTATAATATATAATATATATATAGTATAATATATAATATATATATAGTATAATATATAATATATATATAGTATAATATATAATATATATATAGTATAATATAGAATAATATCTGTCTCTTATACACATCTAGATGTGTATAAGAGACAGATATTATTCTATATTATACTATATATATTATATATTATACTATATTATACTATATATATATTATATATTATACTATATTATTCTATATTATACTATATATATTATATATTATACTATATTATACTATATATTATATACCTATCGGAATATAATGTGAAATTCCGCCAATATAAAGAGAAATGGGTGGGAAAACGTGTGACCTTACGAGCGGTCAAATTGTCTCTGCCTGTGAGCTTATAGTTTGAACGGTCTCGACGAGCAACGCTTTTGTATCATCTTCGCTACATAATTCATTTCAACGACCATTTTGAATATCAAATATATCCATAATACCTCAGACATCGTTGATGCCCGGACGTGAACCAAAACATAAAAGACTGGTTTCAACTGCGTAAACTTTAAAGCATGATGACGCGCGTTCATTTGCATTCCACGCTTCTCGGCCCTGTCGAATCGACGAATATTCTCTCGGTCTATTTGAAATGCAAATCGTTCCGACACTTTTACCGGGCAGTTTCTTCCTCGGAGATGTCAACGGAATCCGATCCTGGGTAAAGTCTTCGCGCCGGACGAAGAACTTCTCGTCAGAAATACGAAAATATCGCGGAGAAACTACGCGCGTCGACACTTTTCTAAACTTCGACGTTAGTTTATGACCATTCAGGAGCAGAAACAATTAACAAGTTGTACGCCGATATGTTCGGGAAACTCTCATCTATCTTCCAAGACCGATTAGAACTTCCTGTCGTTTTTACTTTTCACGCAATAGCTGATTTTTCTCGAGAACTCTGAGGTTTCGTAGAAGCTCGTGTTTTTTGAGAATTGAGGGCAACAGAGCGATTCGGCTTCCGGATTCTTCGTTGAGAAGCGAAGCTCTCTATAATGGTCGCATAGTGACTATTGGAAACTGGAAAAAAGTTTCAATTGCCGGATAAATATTTGGTGTGTATTCGTTATTTAAAATATAGCCTGCTCGACTCTGCTGATAAACGTCGGCCGAAATCTTTCGATAGAGAAAAGATTCCAAAAATATGGAATTGTGCTATTTTGAAGAATTTAACAAATTAATATCGGTGAAACGGTTACGAACTGTTGGTACAGGTACAGTCATAAGAAAAGAATATTTGCGTTTTCAAGAAAACGAGTTGGAAGATACTTCAAGTTCGTGTGGCTCGTGGCATGACAAGAAATAGAATTGGTATGTCATGGCTCGACACGCCACTTTAACACTATTACATAAATAGGAATCAATCTAATTTTTCTCGAAAACGGAACCTCCAATGAAAAAAATATCTTTCTGCATGTTTGTCTTACTTTTGTTACCACCTTATATATATCTGTTAATTTGCCATACTTATATGTTTCCTATTTTATTGTTAATATAATCTGTCTGTAGTAATCCATCCGTCCCTTTATCAAAGTTGTGCCAAGTTCGTCTTGCGTTTTTTTTCAATAGAACGCTATATTTTTGCTTTATGACATGACCTGTATATATATATTTTATTATATTATATATTATATTATTTATATATAATATAATATTGTTCCCAATGATTCCAGTTGACACGTTGAAGGTGGAACGTCTTCGATTGAATCTTTCCATCATTACATGGTGATCTCTGTAAGCCCAAATTTTGGTATTTGGTCGATTCAAGATATTATTGCTTGAAGAATTGTTTTTTTATCCGAGAACAGTAAACGTTCCAGGAAACGTAGATCGTGTTGTAACTTTTACACATTGAACGGTAAAAATGCTATCGATCAGTGTAATTGTTCAAACACAGAGCTTACACGTGTCAAATTCAACAAGGTCACGGACCCCTGCAAATTATTTGTCGAGTCAGATTCCCACTCGTTGAGCAATAACTAAGACATATGTATTCCGTGAGCTTATTAATAGGAATACACGAGCCAGTGCAATAACTTCATCTCCTTTACATTGATGCAGGGTCGACGTATTAATATTAATTCTGATACCAATTTCAACTCTTGATCGTCAAATTGCAGATCCAATGGTTGAAATACGCGTCGCTGTGGAATTTCTTCTGGATATAGCAGTCTCTCATTGTTTCTCACTGTGTTTCCATATATTTGACGCGTTAATCCATAATTATCAGCTGCTCCGTTATTACCATGCTGTTCACTAATATAAATATATTAATATAATATAATATATGATATGATATATAATATAAATAATAATATAATAAAATATAATATAATATATTAATATAAATATATTATATATATATATATATATATATATATATATATATATATATATATATATATATATATATATATATACACA